AATTTTTAAACAGACCCGTTCCCTCCTGTCCATTTCCCCTCATTCAGCCCACACGGAAGGTAAAGTGGCCCGTTCTTTAAAGCTATTGGGATACTGCTGTTTGTGATGGAAGGAAGGGCAGGTTCAGTAGCCTGAGAATGGGAGGGAATTCAGGATTCCCAGCATGGAAGCACAGGAAGAAGAGGAGTGGGAAGCCTGCAGAAACTCAGCATTTATTGGATCCTGCACAAATCAAGCCAGGGTCCACCAAGCTGCTCACGAGGAGCTGGGCTGAAATGCCAACTTGCATAATGCCTGCTTGAGCTTCCAGCAAGAGGAAGATCCTCTATGATGCACACTTGCACCAAGGTCTCTCTGGACACCCCTGTCCTTGCTGTCCAACACCAGCCACTGGGCCTGCCTTCCTCAGTCCCAGAGGGGGTTGGAGAATTGGTGTATTCATCCTGCAAGAGAACATGTGTGCTTCCTGCTGGCAGGAGCTAATCTTCAAGAGCAATTTAGGACAATCAGCAAGTCACCTGACACGGGAGGAACGGAGTGTGTAGCCAGGAGTATTCACCACTCCAAGAGGAGCATAGGTGATTTTGTAATGGTGAAGGGAGATGGCAAAGTGGGCGTCAGCCAATGGAATTTTCAGGTGCCCACCTGGAAGGGCTGATCCATTCTTGGCCCCTCCAGGTTAATCTTCCCAGGCAGCCACCACAGACGTATCTCAAAAGAGGAGGGGATAATCGCAGGAGCTGGCAAACTTGAATTTCACTAGATCATTCCGCAGATCTACTTTCCCCTCTATTTCTTCCACTAATGCAGGATTTCTCAACCTTGGTACTTTAAGATGTGTGGACTTCAACTCCCAGAATTCCCCAGCCAGCCATGCTGGCTGGGGGATTCTGGGAGTTGAAGTCCACACATCTTAAAGTACCAAGGTTGAGAAATCCTGCACACATCTTAAAGTACCAAGGTTGAGAAATCCTGCACACATCTTAAAGTACCAAGGTTGAGAAATCCTGCATTTCTCAACCTTGGTACTTTAAGATGTGTGGACTTCAACTCCCAGAATCCCCCAGCCAGCATGGCTGGCTGGGGAATTCTGGGAGTTGAAGTCCACACGTCTTAAAGTTGCCAAGGTTGAGAAACTCTGCACTAATGGCTAGATTTGCAGCCGTGCTGCAATTCTAAGGGAGGGCAGGCAAAAGAGTGAATGTAGGGGATTGCTGAGAATCACAGCTGTCATTTTTAATTATGCAGTGACCCTTGTCACCGAGCGCTGAATATTTGATTTGGGCTCCTCTGAGAGGAATAATAAAAATTTTCTGTAATAAAACTAGAATTAGGTGGAGCAACATTTTAAAGAAGAGAAGGAGGCCAAAAAGAGAGAGACAGAGAGAGAAAGAAAACCTGTTCACTCAATTTGCATGATTCAGAAATTGTTTCCTGGAGCATAATTTGGCCTAGAAATCAACTTTTAGGCTATGTTTACCCAAAACTATTAATGAGGTCAGGTAAAGATGCAGCAGATACATTCACACAATCTACACCTAATAGTATTAACCCTGGTTAGGCTGTGGTTAGTTTTTTTTTAGTATATGGTGAGAATCTACTCTATTTGGCTCGGTGAATATTCAATGTTTTGGGCAAACTCAGAAAAATGGGTTCATTCAGGAGCCAGGTTAAGTGTAGAAGATACTCAACCCGCTAATAACCATCTTCTTCATTTCTAGAGTCCGTTTTAATGTTAGAATTAAACACAGGAACATGTAATGCACATCAGGAACATGTATCCTGAACACCCCTAGCTAATCAAGGCTTGGGAAGAGAAGAACTATAAAAATAAAGTCCTAACACCTTACTAAATCTCATTTTCAGGAGATGCTGTGCAGAGAGTTCACAGAAGAACTACTAAATAGGCCTGTGCAGTGCTTTGAAGTAATTTGGAAAAGGTGTCTGGAGGGCAGAAGAACACACATGTAACCCTAGCCTGCAATTCTTTAAAGCAGCAGGATTGGACAGCTGCCCTCCAAACTCTCAACGTATCCTCGGAAAAGATGGGGCTGCTTTAAAGAGCTGGAGACAGGGGCTTGTCCATCGCCCCGTGAGCTCTGGAGCACCATTTTTGGAACTGAACCTGGAGCGCTGTGCAGCCTTGTGGCTGAAGGCGTCTTTTCTTTTATTCACTGCTCTCTCCAAGACGAGGGAGTGGAACTTTGAAGTCTGACTTCACTAAGCAGAGATAACATGAAAAATAAATACGGCTATTTTCTTATAGAATTATAGATTAGAGAAGACGGGCAAAGCTTTTAGCTAAAAAGTAACGGTGATTCAGAGAATGCATAAATAAGAGCCCCATTTCTCAGTATCAAATCTAGGACAGAATGAATTGGCTGCTTAATTCCACTGCCTGCTAAGACCCTTCCCCCATTTCAGCCAGCCAATGTGAGCAATGGCATGATTTCCTCCGTAATCTTCTGGGTGGACCACGCTCCACAGGACTAAAGGCTCGCTGATTGGCTATGCCAGAAGGCTGACATACTTATAGCCAGGCAGATTTTTCCTCCGAAGTCAGGGGAAAGGCCTGGAAATAAGAGGCAGGTTGCTGGCTTGTCCTGAAATTAAAAGCCCCAATTGACTGATTACGTGCCGTCAAGCTGACGTCGACTTTTAGCAACCACTCAGATAGATTTTCTCCAGGATGAAAAGTCCAAATGCAACACTGTAAAGAGTCTGATAGAAATGCAGCTAGACTGTTTCTCCAGAAAGACAGTATTGAGAAAGGATGGCTGACCCAGTCTCTCTCCAAAAAGTAAAAGAGATAGGCCAATTATCGGTATACAGTAAGTGATGGTGAGGAACCATTTCCAACTCAACTCTGTCAAGGACGAGTGGCTGTATGTGTTTGGGCCACCCAGATCTGGGGATATTCCATCTTTAACCTTGGATGGGGTGTTACTTCCCCATTCAAGGGTGGTGTGCAATTTGGTGGTCTTTCTGGACCCCAGGTTCTCCTTGATGAGCAGATGGTGGCTGTGGCCAAGAAGACCTCTGCAAAGCTTCTTCTGATACACCAGTTGTACCCTTCAGACAGTGACTCACACCCCGGTCACCTCATGGCTTGACTACAACACGCTCTACATGGTGCTTGAAGACCACTCAGAAGCTTCAACTGGTCCAGAATGTAGCGGTGCAGACAGTGATGGGCATGCCTTAGTATGCCCATGTGACATCCCTGCTCCATAAGTGCACTGATTGCCACTTTGCTTCCAAATGTGATTCAAGGTGCTGGGCCTTGCTACTTGAGGGACCACCTATCTGCCCTAGTATCTTCCTGGCCAACTCAATCCAACAGGATTGGCATGCTCCAGGTTCTTTCGATTAAACAAAGCCATTTGTCAGGATCCTGGAAGTGCGTCTCCTCTGTCATAGCACCTGCCCTCAGGTCCACCCCCCAGATCCGGATGACCCTCATCCTGCTTGTGTTTCAAAGAGCCTTGAAGACCTGGCACTTCGTCCAGGCCTTTGGTGAGGGTGACTGAAGCCCTTTTCTGGGTAGTGTGGGGTTGTTTTTCATTGTACCCAGTTTTTGGCCACCTTTTGTTCCTTGTTTTACTATTGCATTGTTTTACTGTTTTTGGTCTTTTTATTTGAGAACTGCCCAGGGTTGCTGGGAGTCAGGGAGTGTAAAAATAAATACTGTAAACAAATAAATGAATTTTTAAAAAATTGTGTAAGAATGCTGAAACACCTCAGTGCTTCCAAGAACTGAGCAAGAACCAGAGATCTTTAATGCCCAGAGAGGTTAGAGCAATTCATTCCAAGAATGGGAGAATTGAAAGAAGTTAAAATGGAAAAAAAAAAGTAACTCAGTCATTTCTTGTCTTAATGCTAAAGTTGGGCATTTGACTGGACAGATATTGGCCAATCATAATCAAATAATGGTCCTCTTTTAATTGATCAAGTAAGGAGATACAGTTTTCTGGACCTCCATTCAGGGGATGTCAGATGCAACAGACAAAATCTGACTTTGGACAGATCAAGTCTTTGGAAGCTGGGGGTATATAATACCATATTAAATAAATAAATGTCAGTTGTTGCAGAACCAAGCTAGGCAACTGATGTCATTTCCATCTCTAGGGCCCATTTATGTCATTTGCATAATTAGTAATGATGTATTTGCATCACTTTACATCGTTCAGGTAAGGCTTTTCTCTGTCTTTCCCTTCCTCTCAACCTGGTCGTACTTCAATTATTTGTTTTGGGATTTGATCCTTTTTCAGGTCCTCTGTATGACCAAACCCATCCAACATGCTTCTTCCTCACACGTCTACCATTTCTGTCTAACAAAGTGGGCAGAAGCATGCTCTTTCAGCCAGCTGTTTTGGGTTCGTTCAACAAAAGTCATTCCTTGCAACACGCAACATGGTACCTACGACTTGCATGACTTAAAATTTCTCCATTTCCCCATCTTCAGTTAACACTTTGCCAAGATATACAAATGCACACACTTGCTCTAGGTTTTGACCGCACATCTGTCGTCAAAGCTCACATCTACTTTCAGTCCAATTGCCAGCAGCGGTTTCCTAACCCTATGAAAACTGAGAGAGCAGGGTTTCCCAACGTGGCAACTTTAAGCTGTGTGGACTTCAGCTCCCAGAATGCCCCAGCCAGCATGCATGCTGGGTGGGGAATTCTGGGAGTTGAAGTCCACACAGCTTAAAGTTGCCATGGTTGGGAATCACTGCTATAGAAGGAAGCCATTACAGAATTTCTAGCCCCTCGACTTGGAGCTATTTCTGCCTTTCCAAAACTGAGCGGGCTTGAACAGGATCCATAACTGGCAGTAGAAGGAGGGAAGGGACCAAGTGTCCTGATCTAAGAGAAATGACTGGGAACAGCCTTTTTTGGACATGAGGCGGCCTAGCAGAACTTCACACTCAGCTGGCCAGTGCAACAAAGCCCATCTGGGAATCCAAAAGCCAGGACCTAGAGCATCAGGATCAGCCTACCGTTTGCATCTGGTACCCCGGTGAGCGCACCCACAGCTGCTGCCGTTTCGCCAGACAAGACGATCTGCCCTCCACCTTGGAGAGTGGCTTCTGCAAGCGTAGCTACGGCGTGAGCGGCTGCCTCGCTGCAAGACAAAGAGAGGAACCGATGACCAGAGAGAAGGGGGCGCAGCCGAACCAGTATTTGCACAGACCAGCTCCTGCAGGGGCATAAGCCGTTCAGTGGAGGCCTCAGCAGGCAGGTTTCCAGCATCTGCTTTTTGAGCCTGGAGTTGCCTATCCACTGAACATCTGCTAACATCAGTCTTTGTAAAAGGTTGTTTTTATTTAATAATTTTTGGGACTTCTACAATAAGAAGTGGGGTTCAAGCGATTCTCCTGTCCAATCCTTAGATGGAGAATTTTTGTTTACGTATAAAATCATATAACAGTGAAAAAAGACCAATAGTTTTTATTCTATTGATTAACATTTTTAAACTGCCCCATAGTTGAAGCACTCTGGGAGATTTACAATAAAACACACTGCAGGTAGTCCTCGCTTAATGACCGTTCATTTAATGATGGTTTGAAGTTACAGCAGCCTCGGAAAAAGTGCTTTATGACCTGTACTTGCACTTATGACAGTCACAAACTGTCACATGACCCCCATGGTCACATGATTGTGATTTGCGACCTTTTTCTACAATGGTCATTAAGTGGATCACTGTGGTTGTTAAGTGAATTCCGGCAAAAAACATACATGGGGAAGCTGGATTTGCTTAACGACCATGTGATTTACTTAACAACCATCGTAAAAATGGTTGTAAAATCAGGTCAGTCATGTGGTGATTCACTTCATGACTGCCCTGCTTAATGACCAATTTTCCAGTCCCTATTTTGGTTGTTAAGTGAGGACTACCTGTAAAAAATACCATTTGAATAAAAGCACATGCAGTAAAATCGAATGAAATGTAAAATGAAAACACTAAACCAACTAGGTAGGATTAGCCAGTCATTCAAAATGTAAAACAATGGAATTAAAATACAGTGAAAAGCCAATTAAAAGTGCATAGGGTGAAAAGTGGATAGGGTGAAAACAGTAGCTGTGGAGTTCATAATAACAAGGAGTGAGAAAGTTCTCAGTTCTGGTAAAAGAGACCCCTAAATGAACAAGTCCATGTTGGAAATCTTGGTCAACAGAAGCCTCATAATACAGAACTAATGAATATGAAAGTCTGAAGAATCTGCAAAACCCTACAAGTAAGGTCACATTCACACACAATGAAGTACAGAAACTCTGGATGCCCTTTATTAGTTTTTGTTATAATCCAGCAGAGCAGTAAGCTGGATAATGGAAAAGACGGGGGCCCTAACTCTATATTAGGTGTTTCTGTAAAAGTGGAAAGGAAATGGTGGTGCAGAGCATTATTTCGCAAAGTGTTCCTGTCCATCATGGGGAGAAGAACCATCCTTCTCCTTGAAAGCAGGGAAGAAAGACAACTGGGAGGCTGGGGAGTCCTTCCATTTCTATAATGCACAGGAAGAGGAAATAAAGAAGGTGCAAGAAGACAATACTCCAAGTAGTTACAGCCTAACATTTTTGTACTGGTAGATAATGGGTGGTTCCAGTCAGCGGTCATGGAGGAACCACAACTGAGCCCTTGGGTCGGTGTCTCTCAACCTTGACAGCTTGAAGAGGTGTGGACTTCAACTCCCAGAATTCCCCAGACAGCATGCTGTCTGGGGAACTCTGGGAGTTGAAGTTCATACCTCTTCAAGTTGCCAAGGTTGAGAAACATTGCCTTGGATACTCCAGCATGGAGTGCCACAGGGCTTGGTTCTTTCTCCTACGCTGTTTAATATCTACATAAAGCCACTGGGAGAAGTCATCTGCTAACTTGAGATGAGGTGTCGCCAAGTGTAAGGTGGCCACTCACTACCACCTAAGGCTGAGCTGGAAGTGCTGTCGACATCCTGAACTGTTGTCTGAAGGCTGACAGGGTCTGCCAGGAGAAAAGTAAGCTCGGACCAAACTCTAGCAAGATGGTTTAAACATCAAGGGAATTCGTTATCATCAGTTTCTGATGGGGTTGGGAGGAGCTGATCCACCTACTTAGGGGTTCTTTTGGAGGATTAGACTGCTGCAGCCCATTCTACATGGGGGGGCCTTTGAAGATGACTTGGAAGCCACAGCTGGTATAAATGCAGTGGCCAGAATGCTAGTGGGAGAAACCCCCCTGCTGCAGAATGACACCTCTCTTGAGGTTGCTAACAATAAGCTTCCAGACCCAAATGCTGCAGACCGCCTAAAAGGCCTCACGTATCACAGCACAAGAATGTTTCAGGGACCCCCCTCACCCAGCAAGAGTCTGCCTCTTGAGTCCACCTTCACGGAAAGGCCTGTTACAGATTCCAGCCCCATGGAAAATTAAGGGGGTCTGGACCAGGAGACAGGCCTTCTCAGTAGCAGCTGCCACGCTATGGGATATGTTCCCCCCGGAGTGTGAGAGACCCCTATTTTTTGTTCAAAGCTGTTGCTTCAATGGCCCTTAAGATAACTGGGGGTGAATGTTGGATTTATGCAGCTATTCCTTTACTATTATGGCATTATTGTGGTTTCTTTTAACTGTCAAGATACTCTGTTTTGGTCTGTTCGTGCACGCTGCCCAGAGTTGGCTAGTTTGGGGCGGGCTGTTAATAAATAAAGACAAATGAAAAAGTAATGTAATCGGGAGGTCGTCTTTAGCAGCTGGGGGCCACCCAAAACAGTCTAAGAAGGCCGGGGTGGAAAGTGGATGGACCCTGAATATTTTCTTTTCCTGTTTAAATCTACGTCTTGGATTACTCGACGGTTCTTGTGTGTTTGCTGCCTGAAAATAGAAAGCAAGCGTGCCATTGTTTTTCGGCAAGTGATGACGGAAGGAGTGGCTAAGGCTTCAAAAAAGGGGCTTGCGGGGCAGCAGGTAACCCTGGAGCTTCCTGCTGCCCCCTCTCCAAAAAGTGCACGTCTGAATGAACGGATCAGGGCTGGAAAGAATACAGTGCAACAGCTTTTCTTTTCCAGTGGCCATCACCAACCTGGAGAAAACCACCTGGTTTTTTCTGTCTCCTCCTTCTTGGCTGTGTGCGGTGCTCCCCCCTCTACCTACAGGTAGCGACATTCTCTCTACTCCCCACCCCCAACAGTCACTCGAGTCAGCTCAGGTGCTGGCAGGCTTGTTAACAAAACCCTCAAGGGATGCCATTAATCTTCTGCTACCAGAGCAAGAGGAGAAAGTGATCCGCACTTCCCAGGCAGCCAGAGAGCTCTTCCTGCAAATGTCAGGTCCGCGCTGCAGCAGCTTCAGAGTTTAACCCAGCAAGATTGCAAATGCTGTGTGGGACGGGCGGCAGGTGGGGCACTTACAGCCATCCAGCAGGTTGGCACTTGTGCAGTGCCCCTGCTGGCCTGGGGGGCCTCTCTCCCTCCCCCCCCCAATCCCAACCACTGCATTTCCTGGGGATGTACCCAAAAGAAGCTTGCTTGCTTGAGAACGGAAATGAACACCCTTGTCGAGTTTCCTGGCTGTTGCCAACTTTGGTGTGTTCACAGGGGCACAGGGCAATGGCCAAGGGGGTCAGCCAGAAGCTAACCCCCACTTTGAAGCTAACTTCCCCAGGGGCTTCTAGCTAGTTCTATCTCCTTTGCTTTTGCCTGAAATATATTTTATTTTATTATTGATTTGATTTGATTTGATTTGTATGGCTGCCCATCTCACCGAAGGGACTCTGGGCGGCTTGCAGCAATTAAAAATGGCATTGAAAAACAGAAAACAAATTGAAACAGACAAACACACGAAACCATCAATAAAAACCATTAAAAGACTCCAAATTCACGTTTGAAATATTTAGATAACACCAGGTTGATAGATTTTATCACATAAGATATAATCATTCCAGACTCGATAAAATTGTGATTCGGCCATCCGTGAATTTAGAATTCTAATTCTGTCCGTGATATTTTTTTTCCAATCATAGCTATAGATCTTTGAATGGCACTTTTCAATGGTTAAACTGTCTAATAGTTTCCATTGTTGACTAATTATAGATCTGGTAGCTAGGAGTTAAAATGTATTAAGTCCTTTATTAATCAGCTTAACATTCTCTCCCTCAAATACATGTCATAACTCCAGTTCAGGAATACATTCTACCTTTTGTTTAATTATAGATCTTACTTCCCAGAAGATTTTCTGGCAGAATGATGCAACGCTTGCATAGGTCCACCACATATGAAGAACTGTACCCTTTGGTAGACATCTCCTCTAACATTTATTGAACAATTGCTCGATATATACATTATTTGTACTGGGGTTTAAATGCCATCTATTTTACTTTCAACTGCAATGGCCTGCGATATACTTTACAAGGTTGCTGCACCCTAAAAAAAAAAAAATCAGCATAGACCAAGTCACATCAAGGGCGGAGGGACTGGTTTTGATGAGACTGAAAGAAGGCGGCCAGTAATTCACACCTCAGTTTATCCCAGGTCCAAGGATCATTTGAAAAAGGCGAACCCATTTCTTTCAAACCCTCTCACATCTAGGGACCCCTGGTTAAGAAGACCCTGCCTATCAGAAAATGCCAGAGAAGAGTTAGAAAGGTCTCTGTAAGGATGTGGGGGGGCTTTATTCTTACATTCTGGACCCTGTTAATGCTGCCAGTATGGAAAGCTTAACCATCTTGATCCTCACCGCTAAGCGGGCTGCAAAAATCAGGTTATTCTGGGGAAATATTCCCATGAAGTCTCTTTGAACAAAATGCACGCTCATTCATCCATGTCAGGGGTGTCTGCAGGGAGGAGGTCAAGAAAGTCAAGATGGTGGCCACAACCATGCCATCAAAGCCCTGTCCCCTTTGCACACACATTGAGGCTTCGATGGCACAGTTGTGACTTCTTCCCTGCAGTTACCCCTGACCCACGCCATCCACTTTTAGGCATCGTAAGAGCACTGAAACCTTATGGGGAGAATAACAGAAATGTTGCCTGGCTTGGTGGCAGCACCTGGGTGATTTCAACCTGGGAAGGGCTTGGGTGGGAGTTCACCAGGGCATCCCAGATCTATGATTCGGCTGGGAAGATAAAAAGAAAGAGGCGATGCCCAACCTTTCCCTTCTGCCACCGAGAAGACTACATGGACGTAGCCAACGAAGTCCCCAGGAGTGGAGCGTGGCTCAAGGGGAACTCAACTTACTTTTAATTGAAATCTAACTGTAAGAACGACACGGAGCAAAACAGAGTTAAGCCAATTCTAAGGGAGCTCTCAATATTGGCATTGTAAACTGCACTGCAGGGGTTCTGAAATCAGACACGATCACTCTATTGTCTAACTTGCACGAGGCGTGCTTTCCGGCATTTCATTTCCACTCGGCGAACACTGGATCTTACAGCCCCAGAACCTGTAATCTACTTTTGAATTTTGAAAAAGAGGGGAAGGAGACAATGAAATGCAGTAGCAGACTAGAAGTCAGAATTCCCAGCTGTTGGAGTAAAAACTTTGATACATCGAATCCAAGTTTTTAGAAAATCTCATTTTCCGAGGTACGTACTTGGTTACCTGAGACATCGTCTTTTTTCCTGAGCATAATAAGCACTTAGGAAAAAAATACGGTGAATATTTCCTGCTATTTCCCTACAACTCAAACGATGCTGGCTTCTTTTCTTCCAAATAATCAGAAGATGTTATTTTGAGCACCCGGGGACCCCTCTCCCTAACAAAAAGCCAGCCGTGCAGGGCTGGCCCCAGATTCGCCACTCAGAGTCCAAATCGGTGCCAAGGAGACCCTCTCAGCCCCCGCCCCATCCACGGGCCCCAGGCGCCCCGGTTCCCCCCGTACCTGTTGAGCGCCATCGTGACCGTTGCGCCTTGCTGCATCTCCTGCGACGCTGCTACTGCTGCTTCGGCTAAGGAGGCCACTGCCTGCGTGGCTTCGGAGGCCTGCGTGGTTTGGATGGTCATCTCTCCCCCCTGTAGCGTCGCCCAGTTCTGCTCCACCTGGCGGGATGGAGAAGAGCAGAGACCCGTTGCAGGACTGGCTGCCTCAAGCAACCGTGCGGGTTGCCTGTTTGGGTTGGCAGCGCTGCTTCCAGGTCTGCTGGGCTGGAAACAAACGCCAAGGCGGGTTCCAAACCACCAGAGCCTGTTTGGGAATAGGCTGGCAAACCACAGGGTGGGTGTCCTTGGCCTGTCCCCCAAGGGTGCCACCTTGGCCCTTATCAAAGTCTTGGATGGGGCCTTCCAGGAGCTGCTGCCAGACTGCAATCTTTAACGTGGCAGAAAGGGGCATGATTAAACATGTGGGGAACCATCATGTTAACAGTGCACACATCATTTAAATTAAACGCCAATGAAAACTGAACTAAACTACGTTCAGTTCTTGCCTTTATTTATCCACCACTTTACTTTGGGCCTGCTTGTTATTTGTCCTAAGATCCTGCCATACGTCATTCAAAGCAGGGACTTCTGCAGGGGAGGGAGGTCCAAAAAATCAAGATGGCAGCCGCAGCTGCATGACTGAAGCCCCACCCCTCAATGCATGCAAAAAAGAGGCAAGGCTTTGGTCACCCGGCCACAGCCACCATCTTGACTTTTTGGACCCTTGTGTGGATCCCCCTGAGTCAAAAGCTTAATGTGGCCTGGGACCCTTGCAAGCACCACTCAGGTTACCCAAACCGGATTGACCTCAGTTACTGGGAGAAATCCTTTAGGTCTTGGGGAATGGAGAATAACTGCAAGAAACTGGATTATATTGTGCTTCCTTAACAATGTCTGGCTGATGCAGCATCAGGATTTGCATGTGGAGAAGACCACATTGCCCCTGTGCTGCAAGCTTGGGACCAGCGGCATTGCGTGTGACACACAGAAAAAGGGTGGGACTTCAATCCCAAGGTTGCAGCCACCATCTTGACTTTTTTGGCTCCCACCAATAGATGCTCCTGCCTGGGATATATGCCCCTAGAAGAGGCAGAAGAACCATCATCCCTGACATGAGGGCTCGAAGTTCAGGCGACTTGCAGGTACAGCTGAGTTCCTTGTGTTTCCAGTCACAAAGCAATTCCCGTAATCAGAAGGCCCTTGGCCCGAGACTGGCCAGAGCTACTAACCCAGGAGTAGCTGGTGCTGCATAAACCAGAGTAATAGCCTGGCTAAGTAGGGGGTTAAAGCACCACAAAGAAGATAAGCAAGGTGGAAGGTGCCCAGGTTTGCTCAGACAATGAAGGCTTGTCTTCCAGAGCGAACCAGAGGGAATTTTCAAGGGCAGGCCCAGTAACAAAAAACACACCATTTCTAGCTGGTCTTTCACATGGAAATGCTGTTCCTTCTGGAAACAAAGCTGTTTTGTGCTGCCCTCTATTGCTCTGAGAATCCTACACCTTTTTGGAGGGGGAGAGTGCTGACCGTCTGATGCTGCCACAAAGGCCTGGAGACCCAACTCAATCTAAGGGGAGAACAAGTTAGAGTGTGTGAGATTCCTCCCCCCCCCCCACTTTACAGGATGTTGTTACTTGATTCCCAAACTGGCTTGTTCAGTTTCTTCACCTCCCAGACCATGCCAAGCACTGTGGAATCCCTGACTTTAGCTCAACTGAAATAAAGAATAAGTACACCTCATGCATTTGGGGAGCGTACAGGTTTCAGCAAATTCTCAAGCATCAGACACCTGGGTTTTGAAAAAATTACCCCAACATTTCACGAGACTGTCGTATCTCACAAACGTTTTGGTATTTCAACTCTAAGATCTCCTGGAAGAAGGCTGAAATCTCACCCAACAATAGTGTCTTCATTCCAAGTCTCATGAGATGATGGTGCTCTTCAAATCTTGGGAGATCTGACACTTTTGCAGCATTTCAGCCATATTAAAAATATTTTTTACTTAAAGTTGGGGCTGCTCAGTGATTCAATATTGTCAGTGCCAAGTTCACTGATGGCATTCAACAATTAGCAATAATATTGAAGGCTGTAAATTCAGTAGTTCAAAAGTATAGTATAAATAATGAAAAGATCCTTAGCTGTACAAAAAAACCCTCATTATGCCAGTAATTCTGCAAATTACTTTTGCCTTTATAGCTCACCAAGCTGTTTTTCATAAACTACAGATTAGTTTTCCCCAGTATGTCCTTCTCCAGATGGGTAGGAGAATCAGGAAAACATTCAAGGAAAGACTTGAGAAGTTAATTACTGCTCAACATCTGCAGCTGGACAAAAACGTATTCCTTGCTAATAACCCGTCCCTACATTTCTTGTCTTCTGAATTGGTTAGCCATGTTGCTCCTGGAAAAAACTGTTTTGAAATATTCACATTATGCTCTGTGTGCAAGATGCCTGAGAAAACAAAACAGGATGACATTCTTAATAGGCATGTCTAATGAAAATTTGGGCACAACGTCCCAGCTCTGGAACCAAACCTGATTTTAAGGCCCACTGCAGGAGAGAGCTGTGGCCAAGGGGAGGTCAGAGAGGGCTCTTTTTCCAAAGCTTTGGAGATGGGTCATCCTCTCTGAACGAAGGGTCAGAGAATAGAAATGACTGATGCTCCTGAACCAATGCCTTACCTCTCCATCAGTGACTGCAGAGTAGTTGACCTGTGCGACCGTAACAGTGGTAGGCAATTCAGAGGCATCTGCCAAGGTGGCCACGGTGGCCCCCGTGCCAACCTGCAACACAGCATCATCACAAAAGAGTCACCAAGGTCCCCTCAAAATGTCTCAGCAAGCCTTGGCCCCCTGCTGCTTCCCCTTTAGGGTAGGATCACAGAGCCAAAAGCAAGATTGATGAGTGGAGGTGAATGTCCTGGGTGGGGTGGGGAGGTGCACACTCAGAGTGTGACACTGCACCAGTGACATCCTGTGCCCCCTGGCCTCATCAGACAAAAGACATCACACACACCAGGACAAGATCAGGCAAATGATGTCATGTACATCGAGACATCACCCGGTCACAAATGATCCAAATTACCTAATTCACCCCAGTGTAGCTTGCAAGGGAGGCGTATCCCCACAGGTAGTCATGCATTTTACCTGCCCTGCTCTAGAGCTGCCAGAGGAATACTGTTTACATTAAAGTTAATATAGCTTAAAGAAATGTATGGAGAAGAGAAGAATAATCTCTAATTAATTTCACATACTCTTCAGCAAAAAGCCAGAGAAAGTCAACTGTTCTTAAGTTGTTGGGTTTCTGTTCATAGAATCCTAGAGTTAAAAGGGGCCTTGTAAGTTTCCTCATTCAATGCATGTCCAGTGCATGAAACTTCAGACCATCCCAATCTTTGTTTGAAGACCTCCAGAGATGGAGACTCCATGACTCCAGGAGGCAGCTATTCCACTGCTTTGTAGCTCTCACAGTCAGGAAATTCCTCCTTATTTTGAGCTTGGATCTCCCTCTCTTCTACCCATTGGTTCTTGTCCTATCCTCGGCCACCATGGAGAATAAATCCATACCCTTTCTCTAGGGCAGCCCTTCAAGGATTGGAAGACTGGTATCATGTTGTCAGGGACATGCTGAGGTTGCCACTGAGAAAAGTGGATCTCCCCTGTGAGAATGTGCCCCACAATGGCCTGTTCAAACCAGTAGGTGGGAAATATCTGGGGTGGCTCAGCAGGACCATGTGAAACTCAGGGCACATATTTCTAAAAGCAACCTGGTGCCCTCAAGATCTGTTGGGATGACAACTCCCCAAATCCTCAGAGAATCTGCCCAATGCAAGAGAAAGTCCCTAGGATGGGAAAGCTGCATTATATTTTTTTAAAAATAATTTTCGCAGAGGGTATATCGGATGGCTCAGATTTATTTGAATCAGTCTTTTAATTTTTCACCAAAACCCCGTTCCAACTATATTTTTTAATTAAATGAAAGAACAGTGGAACATCATCATGCTCTGTTATTAACTTTTTTCTTAATTTTGTCTTCTTTCCAATAATTGTCAAATCAAAACTGAACTGATAGGGATTTCTTTACGTTGCAAAAATAGGTTTATTGTATTATTGTGTTATAACAATGATTGGAGGTGCCTATCTTGAATTAGATTTTTTGCCGAAGGTTTTTTAAATTGCAATGTTGATTTGTTTTCTTTTTTTCTTATTCATATTTGTTGTTGTAAACTGCATAGAGTCCTTTGGGACTGGAATAGGTTATGGGAGGGAGGGAGGGAGGGAGGGAAGGAAGGATATTACAGCATATACTCTTTCCTTTTTCCATGAAAGAAGTATCACATACTTTTTACTTCATTATTATAGAATTTTACAATAATGCTTTTTAAAAATTTCCTATCCCACACTGTTTCCATACACAGGTTTTAAGGGAAAAGATCAAACTCCTTGGTATTTCACGAGGTCTGGAGTCTGCCAATTTTTTCAGTTTTAATTGCAGAAGCTCAACCTGAAGCACATGGGCTAATAATGGGTGAGCGGACACAAAACACACTTTGCTCAGCATGGAGAAGGCAAAACTGTCTTCCGCACAAACGTACAGTCTGACTGCAAGGCCTTGGGTGGAATGAATTACGGTGACCCCCACCTGGATGAGAGACACCGTGCCATCAGGGTTGCTGAAGGTCTGGACCATCGTTTGGGATGGAACCAGATGTGCTATACTGTGCGTGGCTGTCACTGACTGTGTCTGTTGATCCTCGAAAGCGTAGAGCAGATCTTCTCGGCCGTGCTGTTTGTAGCAGTTTTTCACAATTGTCCGCAGCGCCTGAGTCCAAGACACCTGAGACCAGATGAGAAGGGGAGAGGAAAACAGATCAGGGGGACAAGGAGAGACTGCCAGAACTAGCTGACTATTGTCATGTCACTTGGACAAGATGTAGACCGTCCAGTAAATTTTACTCGATGCAGATTAAAAATATACTTTCAATATCTTTACTCTACTAAGCACAACAGGTGATGCTTTCACCAGATTTCACACCAAGATGTCTGTGAGCATAAAAATGGGGCTTCATATTGTTTTGCTAAATTGCTTACTCTTGTTAGATTTATACCCCACCTTGTATCCAGGAGCTCAAGGCAGCTTCCCTGACACTTTGTCCCAGTGGCCCAAAGATGGCCCATAGGCTCTCATGGAAGATGGTGGACAAACTGGATCTCCCCAGTCCTAAATCCAATACCTCAGCCACTACATCACCTTGGCACTGAATAGATTAATTAAGTGAGTGATCCTTTCAGACAGAGGTTACATGAAGGACTAAATTCTAAATGTCTTTCCTGTGCTCAATAAACTTTCCATTAATCATGCTGATTCTTACAGTCTAAAGCAGTATTTCTCAACCACGGGAACTTTAAGATGTGTGGACTTCAACTTCCAGAATTCCCCAGCCAGCAATGCTGGCTGGGGAATTCTAGAAGTTGAAGTCCACACATCTTAAAGTTCCCAAGGTTGAGAAACACTGGTCTAAAGATTCATGAAAGCTACCAGATTAAGGAAGGTGGTGTTCACTTGAAATATCTGTTCTGTCCATCAGCCAAAAAGGCCTTGACAACTAAAAATGTGTTCAAAGGAAGATGGAAAGATGTGAATCATACAACTGTCCCGAGGAACACAGTTGAGAAAGAGTGTACGCAAGTAATCATTGAGGCTCCATTCTTTCTTTCAAGATATTGTTACAGCATTTCTCACGCCTTCAGAAACTAACTTTCAGGATTTGAAAGAGCCTATCTGGAAAACGATGAGCTGTGCTTAAGGCCAAGGTGGTGGGAAGCCCTACTGGATCTTCTAACTCTCCAGTATGCAATACAGCATCTGGTTAAAGCATCTTAGTTGAGTCTATGGAGGCAAGCTTGTCACTGTCTACAAAGCAGAAGTTCAAGAATGCAACTACAGGGTAGTAGTATAAGTATTGGCCTAGGAGTAGAAGACCCAAGAAGACCTAAGTTCTAGTCTACTTTTGGCCATGAAAACTCCCTGAGTGACTTTGGGCCAGTTGTTTTCTCTCTACTCCTATCTCACAGGTTGCTGTTGTGGGGCAAAATAGGAGGAGGAAACACTATATAAGCCACCTTGAGCACTTGTACAAATGGCAGGATAGCTTCTGATATTCAGAGGATGGTGATTTACAAGAGGACCAAGCTATTGCCATAATGTCTCAAACACCTGTCTGGACCTGACAGAGAACAGAGCTACGCACACCTGTGGCCTCAACCAGGATGGCAACTTTATTCTTACCTGAACCATGCAATTTAATCAAGCCCCAAAGTCTCTGCACCTCTCCATGTGCCAAACCAAAAAAAAGCCCGCTGCCGACAGAAGGAAGAGGATGCTCAAGACATACCCTCTGCTTCTGCTCCTCTGTCCGGACATCGCTGCGGACGTTGGCCCAGGGAATGTCTTCAGGCCACCAAACGGGCTTGCAGCTCTCCTTCCCCCAGCCCGGCTTCCCACGACCCGTTGAGTATTTCAGCATTTCAGGGATGAATGCCCGCAGCTGGGCCTGTGGCATTAAAAAAAAAAAAAAAATTAAAGGTTTGGGAAGCAAAGCTCTGCATCAGCAGCTTGGCCCATTACAGATCATATCAAGGTGCAAGGAAGTCCTTTTCAGAGGTACTGGAGCAATGCTGTCAGAGAACAAAGGGGGCTTTTCCTACTGCATCTTGAGGTTGGGAGCAAGGGGTGTATCACACGCAGGAACAATCAGCCCAAGCCCTAACCTTGCATCCTTTGTTTCCTGTACCCAAAAACTCAGAGTAGGAGTTATTATAAAGGTGTTTGGAAAGATTTGGAATTTTATTATAATAATGCACAGTTTGATGCTGGAAAATAGGTCATTTTTTTAAAAAAGGAGACAAAAAGAAAAGCAAATTTCACTGCAGATTTGATTTGTATTTACAAACTGTCATCTTGGGTATCATAAGAATTGAACATATAATGCATTTCCATCCATCCATCCATCCATCCATCCATCCATCCATCCATCCATCCATCCATCCATCCATCCATCCAATTTAAAAGCCACTCAACTCCAGATGACTCTGGACAGCTTACATTAAAAAAGTAGGAACATTCAAAAGAAGAGTCAAGTCATAAGTGCCCAAAAGACAGGTACTGAATTACAATAAATTTAATTCATGAAGATACCCTTTTTCTGCCCCTAATGCAGTTATAAGGCTACTTTTGCTTGGCCTGGTTTTAGCTTCCTACTAATCAGGTTCTCCCTTGAGTAGGATCACAGATTCCTAACTGTTGACAAGATGCCCCTTCAATACATAGAAATCCACCTATCAGTCATTAGAAAAACATCTTCTTAGTAAAGGTGGTTTGTCATATTACCTGAACAGGGAAACTGAAATGGAAACAGAATTTGCTTTAGGTAGTTGAGTATGACTTGAAAATAGGGGTTGCAAACACAGAGATCTGAAGAACATTCAGAACTCTAGATCAGGGGGTTTTAAATCTTTTCAGGACACAGAACCAGTTACTTAATCTCTCTCTCTCTCTCTACACACACCACACACACACACACCCCTAGGACCCCTGATCGAGAAGCAAAGCTTTAGTGATAGAAAATTTGCTGTGTTTGAGTGAAGGGGCATTTTTGCCCTTAGTGTCTCATGGAACAAGTTCTCATGGAACCTCAGAGTCCCACAGAATACAGTTTGGAAAACCACAAAGGACAGAATCGTGCAAGCTGTGGTGTTCCCTGTGACACGGTATGGAAGCGAAAGTTGGACTTTGAAGAAGCAGGATAGGAAGAGTACTGATGCTCTGAACTTTGGGGTTGGAGAAGACTCCTGAGAATACTGTGGACAGTGGAGAAAACAAACTGATGGATCATCAACCAAATCAACCCAGAGTTCTCACTTGAGGCACAAATGACCAGGCTCAAATTATCCTACTTTGGACATATGATGGCAAGACCCAGCTCTCGATGGATCATCAACCAAATCAACCCAGAGTTCTCACTTGAGGCACAAATGACCAGGCTCAAATTATCCTACTTTGGACATATGATGGCAAGACCCAGCTCTCTGGAGAAGGCTCTGATGCTGGGAAAGGTGGAAAGAAAGAGGAGTAGAGGATGACCAGCAGTAAGGTGGACAGGCTCAGTTATAGTGGCAATGAGTGCACCATTGGAAAAGTTGAAGGACCAGATTAGGGACGGATTGTCAGGGAGAACATCTATCTATGTGGTCGCTAGGAGTCAACAACAATCGGATGGCGCATAATTAATCAATCAAGATAATATCTGGTAAAGATAACAAACTTCTGCATGAATTCCCCAGATGGATGAATCCCCTGCATGAATTCCTCACTGGATCCATGGAGTCAATTATCCTTCTTTTCCCATTCCTATTTTAGATTGCACTCCATGGGAACAAGGGGCCACCCTGTTCTGCCATGTCACTCTGCAAGGCACCCTGGACCCTGATAGTGTGGGATAATTAAGTAAATGATCATTTATAATATTCGCCTCCATCGCTATAATTGGTAAGTCAGCAAATGAAGCCAACACCAACAACATGGATTGAATACCGACAATAACCAGTTCCATTTTGAGCTTTTGCAGAAGCACAAGTGACACTTATGAGCTGCCACAGAACAATCAGCCCCGAGTATCTGATGGAGACGCTTCTCATTAAAGGAGCCGGAAGCAATTTGGTCAATGAAATTGCAGACATACCTGGCAACAATGGTGAGTTTATGGGGAAAAGGCCAACCTAGGTTGGTTCCGTTTATCTTAAAGTTAATCTTAACTTTTAATGGCAACTTGATCTGGAAGCATTATCAGGAGATGATCATTTCCATGCTGTGAACATCACTTTGTGCAGCTTTATGAAGCACAAATTACTGCTAAAATGAAAGGAGAATGCACAGAAAATGCATTTATGGTCTTATCTTATTCTGTGCCATTGGGAAACAACATTTAAAATGTTTCCAGATTATCATTACATAGCAATTGTGTTTGCAACAAATAAGTACTAAAAAACTAAGTTATATACTTGTCCATTATAGATATCGCATTCACTTTCACTTGGTATGTTCCTGAAACTACTTACATGGCTCCTTAATCCACCGATATTTCCCAGTTACCTAGCCATTTCCACTTTGTTAATTGCACTGGGTGTTCATGCTGGATTAACTGGGGAGCCTAAAAATGTGTGTTATCTAAGAGATGTTGTACAAAATGTGAATTATTTTTTTAACCTATGGGGAAATGTTACAGTGTTTAGGGTGTATTTTTCTGCAGAGTTGCTAATTCTAGCCTCTGAGAGTTGCATCATCCCCTACACCACTCTGCATTGTTCATTTCTTCCATGAAGACACCACTACAGACCTGTGTTTTTCCTCCATGATTATTTAAAGAGAGGGAAGGCTGGGGATGGGGATTTCCAGCAGTCCACATGTGGCCCCCACCTAGCACTCCAAGAATTGATTGATCTATTGACTGAATGATTATGTGCCATGAAGTTGGTGTTGACTCTTAGCGACCACCTAGATAGATTTTCTCCAGGATGATCTGTCTCCAGCCTGGTCCTTCAGGTCTTCCAACGGTGCACCCACCACTGCTGTAACTGAGTCCTTCCCCCTGGCTGCTGGTTGTCCTCTTCTCTTTCCTTCCACCTTTCCCAGCATTAGAGTCTTAGGTCTTTGCATAATATGTCCGAAGTAGGATAATTTGACCCTGGTCATTTGTGCCTCAAGTGAGAACTCTGGGTTGCTATGTTCAATGATCCATTTGTTTGTTTTCTTGGCTATCCATGGCCTTTTCAAGAATCTTCTCCAACACCAAAGTTTAAAGGAGTCAATATTCTTCCTATCCTGCTTCTTCAAAGTCCAACTTTCATTTCCATAGAATGTCACAGGGAATACCATGGCTTGCACGATTCTGATCTTTACCCTAAGAATACATGACTGAAATCTGGCTGCAAAATGACCAAAATTTTGGTAGCGTGATTTTGGATCCTCCTCCTTTTTTGGAGGGGGGAGCGTAGGGGGAATGGGAGTGAGTTGCCTCCCCAAGGCCTCCTGAAGACCTCTTAAAGAGGCCAAAAGACAAGGCTGCAAGATTCTACCCCCCCAACTCCAGATGGAGCTCTGGAGAGTGAACTGCAGCGGGTGACGGCTCAAGGGTTGTCCATCTTTCATTTAAATACTGTAATTGCAACCTTCTCTTAACTCAAAGAACGTTTCTCTCTCCCTACCACAGAAATGAAATAAAAGATGGGCTGTTTTTAAAGGTTTTGCCAATCATTCCATAAAGAAGTATAACAGCTATGCACACAACACACGACAGCACCCTCTGGTGACTAATACTGCAATAATTACACTGCGGCATATTACTATCAGAAAGTCTGGCTGCAGCTCATGAAAGCTGATTTTTTTTTTAATTGTTAAGACTCAAAAGGTGCTGCCCAACTCCTTATGACTTTGGGATACCATAGGCTAACACAGCTCCCCTCCTACAATTGTTGTTGTTTAGTCGTTAAGTCGTGTCCGACTCTTCGTGACCCCATGAACCATA